AAGTTGTGCACTATGGCAGGAAGAAGGCAAATTGAATTTTGGGTTTTACTTCAGTGGGGTTGAAATACTAAAACAGGAAGGTATTTCTAAAACCTGGCACTGGTTAGACTGTACCAAAGATACTGCGAACAGTTTTCATTGTCTTGTCTGAGAAAAGATATACTGGCTTTGGAAGAGGCCCAGAGAAGAGTCACCAGATTGATCCTGGCTATGGAGGTATTTCCTTATGAGGAGAGGTTGAAAAGATTAGACTAGTACTTTGTGCAATTTAGAAAAATGAGAGGAGACCTTCTTGTAACTCACAAGAATCTTAGACGCTTTACAGTTAAATGCTGAGAGGTTGTTTCCCCTGGGGCAAAGTCCAGGACTGGAGGGCAAAATCTCAAAAGTGAGGGATCACCCACGAGAATTTCTTCTCTAATAGGAGTGAATCTGTGGAATTCTTTACCGGTGAGGGCAATAGAGGCTGCACCATTAAGTATATTCATGGATGAGAGAGACATATTTTGAATCAGTGAAGAAATCGAGGGTTATGGGGCAAAGGCAAGAAAGTGGGCTTTAGGATTATCAGACCAGCCATGATTTATTGAACAGCAGAATGACCTACTTCTGCTTTATGCTTTATTCTTTAAAAGTATTCAGAGTTACCCTTACCTTCTGGTTCTTCACACCACTGCCAGTTATTCAGGGCTACAAAAAAAAAATGTGTGGATTAAGGGATCCTCATTGCAGTAGATGTGAGGGTGGCTGTAACATCCATGATAAGATTCCTGATATTGTAGATTGTGAGCATTGAGGTCAGAGGGAGCTGCAAAAATTATAGAAGTAAACCTAAACCTTGGTCAGATCTGATTTAGTTCATACTGTCTTGTTTGTGATTATTTGCAGAATGAGTATTTGCAAATTGTCAGAAATAGTAAAAGCTAACTTTCTTTCACCTTTGAAAGTAGTTTTAGGAAAGCTGCTTTAGGATAAATGATTTGTATGTGTATATCATTTCTAAGCATTTAAAGGTAAATGATTAGAAGTCTGCTGCAAACTGTTTTTAAAAAAAAGTCTTCATCTCTTGAAAGACCTTTTCAGTGGATGTTCAAATTTCACTTTGCTGACTTTTGACAGCAATTGTGTTAATAGTGCATTTCATATAAATTTTGGTCCTGTTGGGTTTTTTTAAATGATATTTGAGTTATGAGAAATGCAGGAATGGCTGAAGCTTTGATTTAACAATTATTCAAAGTCCTATCTCACCAATAGCTTTAACTTAGGGACTCCACTCTGTCCTCACAGGGACCCTGATCCCTCATGTCTTCACTTTCACTCACTCTGAACTCACTCTGTTTCCCCAAGTTTGCTCTCTTTTTGTATAATATTGTGCTTTCCAGTAGTGCAGTGCATATTATAAATAATTGGATCGATAGTAAGGAAGTTGCTAATGAATGTGGTGCTGATCAGTTAGCTGTAGCTAGTTGTATCATTTGAGCTGCTAGCTAAATGGATCATTAACTGTTTTGCTATGTGTTTTCAATAATTTGATTTGTTGACTCTTTTATAAAAGAATAAAAATATATTGTGAGGACTATTGTCAAAGCTGCTGTTTTGTCAGAGGTATTCCAATTACAAAAAATCAGTTTATGTCACCTGGACCTGTTTACTCTTTGTGCTTATTCATACAGTTAGGTCAGATGCTTGCAACACTGAAATAACAATATTCCTTCCCTACTGCTTCTGGATGTTAAAGAGCTCTCTTAGGCAAAGTGTATTCCAAATGTTTCACTTTTTATTTTTGCAAAGTTTTGTTTGCCATACAAATGTTTTCATCAGTTCCATGGACAAGGACTCCTAAATCCCTCTGTTGCGTAGTTGAATCACAAAAGGCTAGCATCCAATTGCAGTGGGTAATAGGGAAGTAAATGGTATGCTGACCTTTATTTCAAAGGGAATGGAGTATAAAAGTAGGCGATCTTTCTTTGCTAAACCTGTGAAGTAGAGTTCCCACAGACCTACCGGACCATTGGGCTGGAGGTGGTATATACTGGTAGTCACGATGCCTCAGACAAAGGGTAAGATTAGGAAGGAGCGTCCTTCATGATGACTTCAGCCAGTGTGTAATCAAACCCATGCTGTTGGTGTTGCTCAGCCATTCAACCAATTGAGCTAACTGACTCCTAATAAAACTGTTCAAGGCACTAGTCAGACCATAGCTGAAATATTGTGAACGGTTTTGATCCCCTTATCCAAGGAAAGATGTATTGGCATTGGAGTCAGTTCACCAGGCTGGTGCTTGATATGAGAGAAAAGGTTGAATAGATTGAGCCTATACTCGTTGGAACTTAGAAGAATAGGCAACCTTATTGAAACATGCAGGATTCTTAGGGGGCATGACAGGATAAATAAGGAAAGGTTGATTCCCCTCATGGGAGAGTCTAGGACCACAGGTTGTAATCTCAGACGAAGGGGTAATATGTTTAAGACAGATAATGAAGAATTTCATCTTGGAGAGTTGTGAATCTGGAATTCTTTAGATGGTTATCGAGGTTAGGTCATTAAATATATTCAAGGCTGAGAGAGATTTTTAATCAATCAGGAAATCAAGACTTATGGAAAAACACAGGAAAATGGAGTTGAGGTGTATCAGATCAGCCATGATCTCATTGAATGGCAGAGCAGATGTGATGGGTGGAATGGTCTACTTCTACTCGTTCGTCTTATAGGTCTTTTGCAGAACCAAAGAGCACTGGAAATAACTTTTAAGTTGTTGACGAGAGGGAGGTGAGTGACTGGAACAGATATGAGCTTCCAGGGGAAAACACAAAGGGAATGCTAATGGTTGTAAAGATTTCTAGGTGCAAAATCAGTGTTAATGATAGGTACGAATGGTCAAGAATTGCTTGGACGTTGGGGTAGGGGGTGGAATTGGATCAGTGTTTTCATGCTGTGAAGATGCTGAACTGAATCTTGGGTCCCGAAGGCTGTAAAAAGTGCCTGTATAGAAAATGAGATTTTGTTCCTCCAACTTGCATTAAGCTATGATGGAACCCTGCAGCAATATGTGGATGAAAATTGAGGATGTCCTAGTCCACTGTGTAACTCCTTATACTTTCTTGCCCCTCTGTCTCTTCCCCTTTCTCTCTGATGCCAGTGCCCCTCTTGAAGCCCATTTCGCTCAAAGTAATCATTGAGTCATGTGTTTAACTCTTGAATCTTCTTTACTGTCTACCAGTTTGCTTATGCTTCTGGTAGTAATCTAGAGATCATCATTATTTTTGAAGTTTTGCTTTTTAATGTAACTCTTGGCTGCTCAGACTCCCTATCAGAACCTCTTTCATAGTTCTCCTTATGAAGTTGATCCCTCTGTGGACCGCAACCAGTGGATCCTTCTTCCCTCAATGCAAGTTCCTATCCAGTCCTGAAAAGATGTCCAAAAGTCTGACACTGGGCAGACAACATGGCCTGCTGTATTCTTGGGCTTGACTGCAGGTACCTGTGTCTATCTACTTGGCTGTACTATCTCCCACTATTGCCACATTCCTGTTAATTTCCCCTGCTTAAATGCTTCCTGTATCATGATATCATGGTCAGTTTGCTCAGCATCCTGAAACTAGTGCTTTAATTCATACAGGTAAAGGTAAAGTCGCCATTTTCCAGAGAGCCATAGCGCTACTCCCTAACCAGAGAGGCAACTAGAAGTGGTTTTAACCAGAGGCTCACCACGCCTCAGATGATGGGAGAGGTTGAGAAAAAGGTGCTTTCATGGTAACCTCAGCCAGTGTGAAAACTGAACCCATGCATTTGGCATTACTCTGGATTGCAAAACAGCCATCTATTCGACTGACCTAACTGGTTTCATGAGCCCATTACTTATTGACTACTGACATTTAATAATTGCTTATGTACATGTTGCATACCCTCTACTTTTGCTCTGATTTGCTCAAATTTCAGTATTCAGAAAAAAATTACACATGATAGACGGTAAATAAGCACAATTTTAGTTTTAAATTCTAGACTTTTTTTAAATGACTTTCCATGTACCTGAGTTTTTATGGCAAATTGCAATTACACTATCTTTTGGCTTTGGCAATTGTTATAACATATCAGAAATTCTCATAAGCCAAGACTTGAATGAGAATCAGCAATGTAAAGCAATTAATATTAATAAATAAAAATGTACTAGAGAAATTGCTAGGATTTAATACTGACAAATCCCCTTGTTTGATGGCCTACATCTTAAGGTAGCTGCAGAGCAATGCATCAGTTTTAATCTTCAAGCATTCCATGGATTCTGGATTGGTCCCCATGGATTGGAAAGAAGCAGATGTAACACTGCAAAAGAAGGGCAGGACAGAGGTAACAGGCAACTATAGGTCTGTTAACCTGAAATCTGAAGTGAGAGTGTATTATTTAGAACATCGAAATGGGGTATTTAAAAATTGTTTGGTGTAATATGTTAAATGAATTGAAGATTGTTAAACAGGTAGAAAACAGCATAGGGATAAATGCACAAAGAACCCTCTTGTGAAGAAGACTCAAGTTGAAATCAAAATGTTTAATCTGTTTCTCTCATCGTAGATGTTGCCACTCCAGCCGGGTTTCTCTGGCATTTTTCTGCTTTTGTTTTATAGCTTCAGTATCTGCACTGTTTTGCTTTTATTTTCGTGTAGGAATAAACAGATCTTCTGAGATGGCAGAGTGAAAGTCATGGAATTTCACAAGGTTCTGTGCTTGAACATCAGTTTCTTGCAATCTATAATCAGTGACTTGGAAGAAAGGATTGAGTTAACTGATAGTACAAAGCTAGCTAAGCTGTGGAAAAAATGCATAGAGTCTTTGAAAAGTTATAGATTGGACAAGCTGGTGCTCATGCAGTACTACATGGAAAAGTATGTATTATGCATTTTTATAGGAGGAACACAAAAGCAGAATATTTTCAGAAGGTGAGAAACTTGTGTATATTGATATTCTGAAGGAATTGTGAGTCACTGAACGTGAATCAAAAAGTGAGCATGAAGATAAGCCAAGAAATTGGGAAGGCAAATGCATGTTAGCCTCAACTTTTATAAGTATGTAAGAGTAAGGAAGCTTTGTTGCAGTTAATATAGGCTTTGTTGAGACCACACTTGGTACAAGGTGCTCAATCATGGCCTTCTGACATAAGGGAGGATACCGTGCTTTAAAGGGGGTGCATTGAAGGATCACTGTATTCAATCTTGAGTTGTGAGGCCTGGTTTATGAGAAGAGAATTAGTACAATGTTCTTGTATTGCATTCTTTTGTATGTGCCTTTCATATAGTAAATAATTTCAGATTTGGGATATTTTCCCTTTTAATTTCAGCCATTCTAAAGCGCTTTGCTTATTGTTTAAGGTATCGAGTGCCCTCGTGGATCTCGTAACACTCCGACAGGAGTCCAGGAAGGGGAACCGTTCAGTGAAGATGCTACACAATTTACCAAGGAATTGGTGCTACAGCGTGAGGTAGGCAAATGGTTCACCTAATATCTGCAAATACTTCGTCAAATCTCTGTTGCCTCAAACAAAAAAATAAAATATTAGAACAGTTTGTCATGGTTAAGAGAAAATTTTTGTGTGAATATTGAAATAAAGGACATATCCTATTGTATGTGGAATATGTAGGTTCCATCTTTAAGGCAATTGTCTTGCAGCAGTTACTGATTGTAAAATGATGTAATGGAATCAGTCAAGAGTGTACTGTAATGAGGACAATGTTTCACAAATTTGGTTGCCTGAAGTGTACGAGAATTAGAAAAGATTTGTACTTGATAATAGACAAGTCATAAATTTCCTATAGTACATGATTCAGCAACTCTAGTTCACCGTCTCATTAATGAGTGGGCTTTCACATTCAGAATTCTAAGTTGTGTCAAGGGTAAGGCCACTTCTACCATTTAAATAACTGAATTTTGGAAACACTTCAGGTTGATGTTATCCGGGCCTGAAAGTACAATGTATGTTCCTGCCCATATATGCATGGACACATTCAGTTGGCTTTTGCCATTTAAACTTTAAACTGGGTCAGGAAAGCAGGGAATCTAAGGGATAAAATCCTTCCTACAAAAGTATGCTTTTACCAGGAGATTGTAGCAGAAGAGGTGATTTTTAATAAACTGAGCGCAGTGAAACATATTGCTGAATTTTATGGCAACAAATGTCCCTTGTGCAAATGTAAATGTGATGTGATAATATTGAATTGGCAATGCACCATCATTAGGTCAGTCTCCAAAGTCCTGGAAGGTGAGTAGGCGTGAAAAGAGACAGCCAGTCTGCCATTTGAAGTTACTAATTGAAAGCTATTGAGCCTGTTCATGATCCCATCATCAATTTTTGTGTGCCTGTTGAATGTTTTGGGTGTTGGATATGAAGTTTAGGTGGTGTTTTACACAGCTGTGCAAAGGTGACACAAAGGTTCAAGGAAAGACTGACCAGTATCATGGCTGAATGTAGCAGGAGATGCTGTTGTTGAAGGTGGCAGTGTTTACCATGTTTTATTAAGAAGTTTTTTAATAGTTTTTTTGAGCCTGACTTAAAAGTGAGATTCAGAGAGCCTGGAGGTTTTTAAACTTGGAGCTGTGCTGATTCCTTACCTTGCTATCACATAACATCAAATTGACAGTCTTGATTTATGCCCAGAACCACTGCTGCCGCCGCCACCTCCTTCCCCCCCCCCCCCCACCCCCCAACAACCTTGTGACTTTGACACTTTTCCCATCAAATGGTTCCTAATTGCTTGTCTGAAGCATCATTTGATGAACTGAAGGGATGGGGGCGAGACACTGTGGACCACTGAGCTTTTGTTTCGTTTTCCTCACCCTTACAGGAAACACAATTCCACCACTTTTACAGGGTCGCTAGTTTTTGGCTGATTAGTTTATTTTACAATACATGGTACTCTAGCATATTGCCAAATATTAGTTGCTGTATGTTTGGCCTGTTTTTTTAAGTTGATAAATTATGTAATGTTGGCCTTGTCCTTGGTGCTGAAAGCTTTATGGTAATTAAAAGAGCCTGCATAATTCAGGTTTGCAGTGTGAGCTGTTCTGCTTTTTTAAAGAACGATAAATTTTGTAAGTCGAAAAGAATAGAGCTATTGCAAATGTGCCTTATTAGGGGCATTGGTGAGTTTTCAGCTTTTAAATAACAGTGACTTCTTCAGAACTACATACCAAGCAATCCTATATAGCTGTGTCACTTCTCTTTTTAGTCAAATTTTTGTGAAATCCCTTTGCAGTGCAGGGTGGAAGAGAGAAAATCAGTAAACTCGTGTATCCTACTCTAATGCATTTGGCTTCTGAGATTTTGGAAATGAGATGGCGATGACCTGGCAAGAGTTCACATGTTCTCAACTTTCCATAATTTATGTTTAATATCATAAGAATTAAAACTGTTATTGTGCTTTTAATATTAAATCTGTATGCCAAAAACTCTATGGGTGGTGATAATTACTTATTTGCGATTTGTTGCCATCTGGTAATCTGCCTTTCAGACATTGTGTTAGGGATTACTTAGAATGATGAGGAAGTGGTAACTTGGAAAGTGGTTTCTTGAAAGCTATGATTTTGTGAATCTATTATTTAAGAACCATGTCCTTATTTTACGTTGTACTTGTAACTATGAAAATGTATCTTAAAGATGTTGTGTAATTTTTCCCTTTTTTAAAAAGGTGAAGAAAAATTCTTCTGGAGTGTAAGCAGAATGATGAATGAGGTCACAGCATCAAAGCTGCCCAACATGTTCTATTGACCATTTAGTGTTGTTAGTAGCTGTTGTCTGTGCTGTTGTGGCAGAGTTAGTTGTTGCAATACTGTGGCCCACATCTGTGTTTGAGTTTTCAACTCTCCTTTGCTCTGGAACCAAAAAATGCTAGTCCTGGTTCTTAGCATTTTTCAGTTCCTTGGTAGAACTGCACCTTACAGGATTGAGCCTTCTAATTGCAGCTGAAGTGTAGGACATGGTATCAATTCAGAAATAATGGGTGCATATAGGAAAAATAATGGGTGATTGAACTTGTGGATCAGACAAATAAAATTGGTAAATATAACCATGAGAATGAATACATGAAGTATATTGGGACAATTTCTTGGATAAACGCACTCAGGGAATAGGCTGTTTTATACTTGGCTATGTGTAAGAAGGCAGGGTTAGTTTTATTATAGAGGACTCGCTGGGAAAGAGTGATCGAGTGATGGAATTTCACATTTAGTTTGACAGTGAAACTATTTGAAACTAGTGCTTTATAATTGCCTTGAATCAAGTTTAAAGTTATGAAGTCAAAACTGGCTGAAGTGGACAGGGAAAATGGATTCAAATAGTAATACAATGGCAGATGCTTAAGGAGATACTTCTATTGAGAATTGTTATATATATTACATTGTGAAGCAAGGACTGTGAGAAGAATGATCCATCCATGCAGCTAACTAAGGAAATTAAGGATGATATCAAATAAAGGCAAAATATTGCAGATGCTGGAAATATAAAATAACAATAAGGGGAATATCGGACTCAAAATGTAAACTGTCTGCATCTCTACAGATACTGCCTGCTCTGTTAAGTTTTGCCTACACATCATTTTTATTATTTACTAAGATTGAATTATTTATTTTTTCAATTTGATAGCAATGTAAAATTCAACAGCCATGTTGAGAAAAATTTAGAAAGCAAATCACAACTAAAATAAGAGAGTAGATTACTTGAGTAAACAAGCAATAAATCTAGAACCAAACAATTCTAGCATCAATGGGTATATAACAAGGAACAGAATAGTTGAAGTAAAACATGGCCCTGTGGAGAATGAAGCTGGTAAGTTAAAAAAGACAAAAGAAAAAGAGCAGAGACTTTGAACAAATATTTTCTGTCTGGTGTGCACAGCAGAAACCACTAAAAGAAAATGAGGGCAAATGTGGGGGAAGAATTCAAAATATATCACAACTGAAAAAGTCTTAGTTACTCCAAAACTGAAATACTGTATATAATACAAGAGTAAATGCTGAGAAACCTCCCTCCTGGGGGAGTTTAGAACAAGAATCTCCAGTGCAGTTCAGGATAGGCAATACATGTTGACCTTGCCAGCAACCCCTATATTCCAAGAAAGAATGAAAAAAGAACCAGGGAACGTAGATTCAATAAGGGGTCAGCCATTTACAACAGTGATGAGGAATTACTTCTGTCAGAGAGTCATTATCTCTTGAATTCTCTGCTCTAAAGAGTCGCAGATGCTGAATCGTTGAATGTATTCAGTTCTGAGACACATTTCTCAGCTAGTGGTTCTCTAGGGTTATGAGGTTGGTCAGCTTAGTGGAATTGAGGCTGCAGTCAAATTGGCTATATGCTTATTTAATGATGGGACAAGCTTGAGAGTTGCGTGTATGACTCATTCCTTGTATTTGTGTTCGAAACAGCAGCAGTGCACTAGCCTTTTACTACCATTTACTTTAACAATGAAGATTTTACAGCCTGCTTTGTTCGCTTTAATTTGGTGTCATTTCAGCTTGTCTGGATGAGAGAGTAAAAGGCTTCAGGATACATGAACTGATTATTAGCTGTATGGTACAGGAACCCATTTGAGAGGGGGAAGTAAGAAGGATCATAGTGATAGTAGGGGACATTGTAATGAAAGTCACAGCTGAATGGGGCAGTGCACTGGAAATCAAGGCTCACTATTCCTGAGTCATCTCAAATGTGAAAAGTTGATCACACTGTCCAAATTCCTAATTCATCTAACTGACAAACTCCTGTTTAGAGAAAATGCTCGCCAGGTTTCCTTAAATTTAAACTCTATCCCTTCTTAAGTTCCTCCCTTCGCAAACAGATGCACAAAGACAATCAAGACATGAATATTCAGGAAAGCTTCAGGGAAATAGCACCAGTCTTGATAACAGGATTCGATGAGGTTTTTATTTCCTTTTCCGTTTACATTCTTTGATGTTGGCACATGATTGTTTGCACATTGAGGCTGATTTAATTTATTGATTGAGAACTTACCCCTTTCAGAATCTCTAAAGGTGATTTACTCTTCTATCAACAGCGACTTGTCAGAGGATGTGTATGGAAGTCAGCTAGCTATTAGTGGAGACTTTCAATACACAGGAATGAAACATGGGGAGAGATTTGTGTTGCTTTCTCTTTGTAGGCTAAGTATTTCTCTGCTGCACTGGGCCCGACAAGCCATGCTTACCAAGTCAGGAGCCAATCAAAATTCTGTTGTCAAGCTATTGACCCTGAGTGTATAATCCCATCAGCTCTGTTTTGTCTGCTTTTGCTATCACTGTTCCAGAAGGAAATAAACATTGTATAAAATTCACAATGTCTGCCAGTAAAGGTGACCTTTAAAACTGCAGCCTGCCTTTGCATAGTTTCCTTTATTTAAAGCAATATATTTTTTAATCCATAGTCCAAAACTAAAGGAAAAAAAAAGTGATCTTTACATGAGGGGGATTGACACTTTTCCTGTAGCAAAGTGC